CGTGATCTAGCTATTGTAGAAATTGGGTAAAAAACCCACCTTATGATATTATTAAAAGCATACCTTTATTTTTGCCCCTGGGATTTTGTCATGCACTTATATACAATATTGGCCCTTCTTAAAGTTATTAACGTAAACTTATCCCGTAAACCTGTGTTATTATAAAATTAAAAAACAAAGAAGTTGAAGCAAATAACTTTGTACGATACGTACTGAGTCCCAAAATAAAGTTCATAAATTATAACGACCAAGTCTATTATGATATAAACTTGCTCTGTAAAGTCTATGACAATTTGAGTACCAGTGTTTACTTTTTAGAACAAAAACATGGATTAGAGGTAAGTAGTTACTGAATAAATTCGACACGATAGTATTAAGTACTGTTTGCGTGTTAGGGTTCATTGATTTGAAACAATAAGCCTTCTGTCGAACTGAACTGAATTTCAACGTAGACATGTTCGTATTTATAATACCTACTCGTAAAAGATTATTCTAGCAAATTCCAATCCCTACGAGAACTGTCCGCTTCTGAGAAATACAAATTTGTTTCGAATATAATAGAACTTATTGTTTCGTGCCACCCTGCATTATTATTAAACGGTTCCCGGTTAATCGAACTTTCGGGAATGTGCGTGATTTTCTTTGTAACAGTACAAATTATTCATCCGTAAAAGCCTCCGCAAGGCTCCTATTCTAGAGCAATGATAGAGAGGACCGGTTTTCCTCATTTTATTGTACAGGGTGCAAACGAGCAGACGGGTCATCTGATTAAAAGTGAATACTTGCCGCCCATGCACGCCGGCGATTTAAGAGTCATTGCCGATCTTTGAGGTGGGATTAATTACACTTTTTACACCATTTTACTTTTTTCAGGTTTTGTTATCGATCTGGTTGATGTTTACTAGAGGGAGTTGTTGGTGTGACTCTTCTGGCGGGTGATAAGGTCAGATGTACTATGTGCTTGTGTATGTAGAAAGATTCTCCGCAGATTTCTCAGTAATTCTTTCGTTATTGCTCATCGAGTGAGTGAAGTTACCGGAGCCCAAACTCCCTTCCCGTAATTCTAGGGGAACGGACTCAATAGGCGACAACGTCTTGTGACTCTTGAGCTGCAGGTGCAGATGAGCGGTAGCAGTCACTTAAAATCAAGTGACCCGTCTGCTAACTATTTCTTTAAATAAACTGTAAAACTATCAGTTACCAATAATTGAAACAGAGATGATCATATTCTGGTAAGGGTCTTAGAAATGGCATATAATATTATAACGCCAACTTTGGTACCACCACCCCTAGTTATCACGTGGGTGTCTTAAGAGCCGACTTAAGGAGCAAACTACGCAGGATAACAACACTGCAAAGATTAGTAAACTTGTAACAACCCTTTTTTTTTTTTTTTTTTTTACGTGTGGTAATCCCCTCGGACCGTCACCCCGCCGGGGCTCTCGTTCGGCCGGGCGGTGTGTCGGACTCGAACCGACTAAAACCACACGGTGTGCCCTCTTTGCGCTTCCAGTTTAGGAGGGGTCCAGGTAGTTATCGCCTTCTGGACCCGTCTGGCGTGGTATAGTAAGCGAAAACCTCCTTTCTTTGGAGAGGCGGAATATGTCCAGCAGTGGAGTAGTAAAGGCTATAGATGATGATGGATGAGCTTAGGTACTGATCGCTGATAAAGTATTTTTACGTCGTTATTGAATAATAACGTTGACCACTACACGTACCTCGAATCTCTAATCTGCAATGACGGCAGCTGTTATATATATATCTCGTCGAGATAAAAAGGGACTTGTATAAAGGGCATCTAGATCAGAGGAATTGGTCTCAAAACCAAGATTAGACTGGTGCGACCTGCATTTTCTATCTTCCTGTATGTAGTTGAAACGTGGACAATTCTGAACCGAAAGACAAAGGATTGATGTATTGAAGATATGGTGCTGGAGACGAATGCTAAGAATTCCTTGGACTGTGAAACGCACAAATGCGTCAATCTGGACCCAGCTCTGAATTAAAACTCGTTTGTTAACCATATGCCTGTGGTGTGTACCCTATTATAGACATTCATGTATCCCTATATAATCATTGTGTATTCTAAAATATATTCAGTATTGTCTCAACATTCGGCGTTTCAATACCTCTCCAATATCCCCGCCTTACATGGCGACCCTGCCGAAGTCGGCTGGCAACAGAGCGCATTCCATTACCATATAAGGATTTGGAGTAAAGTTGCAAGATGTTTGGTGCGCAAATTACATTGAGTATTGGTGTGGTCGATATTACACGGCATTCGGTGGTAATTCTTGAAAACGAACATGGGTGGCTCCGCATCTAAAGAAGGGGTGACGATTGCCCAAAATGCTGCTGGGGGCAATAACCAGGTGTCAATTGAAGAAATAAGAACGCACAACATTATTTTATCGGCAATTTTTGGTTTGATGCTGTTGGGCTTATTATACGGTGGGTACCGTATATACAAAAGGTGCCACCACCAGTGGATTGATCAACGAGTCCATCACCATGCGCTTCGTCGGTCGTTTCTGCGCGCAGCTCCTAAAGCTACCGCGGTCAACATAGGGGAAACAGTGTGAAGTCATGGTTATTACAAATGAGAATTTTGTGAAGTGAAGTGTTAAAAAATAATAATAATAAAAAATAAAATAAAAAAAATAATAAAAAATTAATACAAGTGCCGTTAATTTAAACAACTACTATTATATACAAATATAAATTCAGTGCGTAAATATCGTTATTCATATCTCGGTTATAAATAAAAGTCAAAAAAAAAAAAAAAGGGGTGCGGCGATATTCGAAAGACAATATAAATAAGTGTGCAGACAGTGCCAGAAGGTAGTGTTTATGATAAAATGTATTCGTTAAAATCTAAAAGTAGGTATAGTTACAAGGTATGGCATCTAGTTTAGAGACATTATGCAATGAAATTAAAGAGGTAAGAGTATATTTAATAAAAGTAGGTCCGAGTCGTAGAACTGAGAGCTTATTAAGTAAGAAATTGATTGAAGCTAATGAAATTTTTACAAGATATTCTAATTGTTTAATTGAAGTGTCAAATGAAATTAAGAAAGGCAAAGTTTCAAGTAGTGACTCCGAATTGATTCATAAGTATATTGAGAAGTTTCAGACTACTTATTCTGAAATAATTAAACTGTGTAATCCTTGTAAGTTTCAAGATATTGTAACCATGACCACTTTTGATATTAAGGCTGCTTTAAATTTGTTACCTCCTATGGACGATGACGAAACTAACATAAAGCAGTTAATTGACAACATTGAGTATTATAATTCTATTATTACAACTTCCGAATGTAAAAAACAATTAGTTAATTTTGTGCTGAAGAGTAGATTATCACAGGTGGGCAAATTGCGATTATCTTCTAGTTACCCTGATGTTGAAAGCTTAGTATCTGATATGAAAAAAATTTTACTTTCCCAAAAATCACCAACTGCTATCCAAACTAAATTAAATTCGATGAAACAGCACGATTTGTCTGTCCAGGATTATGGTAAACAAATAACTGAGCTTTTCGTAGATCTTACTATTGCACAGGCTAAGGGAAATTCCGACAGTTATAATCTACTTAAACCTATTAATGAACAGCACGCGATTAAAAAGTTTGCTGATGGTTTACGGAACCGTAGATTAAGCACGATAATAGCGTCGAAAAGTTTTAGCTCCCTCAAGGACACCATACAGGCCGCAGTGGATGAAGAGATGACTTCGTCTGCGGGCTCCGGAGAAGTTTTAGGTATGTATAATAATATTAGAGGTTCAAGGAGTTTTAGACAGAATTATGCGAGAGGGAATCGGGGATTTTCGTATTCAACATACTCGCAGCGCAGGCCACTGCGGAATAATTTTCACATCTACAACGGCAACGGGCGCGGGCGTCCCGGAGGATGGAGTGCTCCTGATTACCAGTTACAAGGGCAGCACCAGACTTCTCTTCCCAGGCGACCATCCCGAGGTAGGTTTTATAATAATTACAATAGAAATCCAAGGATGCGCAACAACAACGTTAATGTCATATTGGAATCGGATAATATAAAGGCGGAAAATACAAATCCAGAAAATCAGTTTTTTCGAGACTAAAATGTTATCATGTAATAGTAATTGTTCGATTAATTTATCTGCAAACAATCACATGTACAGTTGGTTACTTGATACCGGTGCATCCATTTCAGCCGTAAAATATAAACATATAATAGAGCATCAAATTCCATTTTATAATGAACAGATATCCATAACGGGGATCGGAGGCAAAATAACGACAATTGGATATTGTTTTATAAACTTAGATGTAAATGGTCATCAATTGAGACATAAATTTTATGTGTTTGACTTCTTACCAATTAGAGCGAATGGCATCATCGGTCAGGATTTCATGACTAAGTACAAAGCGATATTGGACTTCGGTCATAATGTAATAACATTGTTTAATTGTAATATTAAGACTGAATTACCTTTCTCTACATTTAATTATAATCAATTAGAGATTCCACCGAGATGCGAGTCGATTCATTATATACAAACAGACTTTACGGATGAATGCGTAGTTTGCGCGTCTGATATTAGCGAAGGTATATACTTAGCCAGCTCCTTAGTCCAACCGGTATGTGGTAGAATACCTATAAAAATATTAAACACCACGGAACAGAATTTAATAATTAATAATATTAAGCCGATCATACATAGCGTTAGTGATTATAACATATGTTCTTTTACACGAAACGAATCAAATGCAAATCGCGTTAAGAAATTGTTCTCTTTATTACAGTTAAAACATTTAAACGATGAGGAACAATTAGCCGTGGAAAAATTATGTGCGAAGTATAGTGACGTATTTTATTTACCAGGCGATAGGTTAACTACGACCAGCGTATATAAACATTCTATAACTTTAAAGCCTAATGTGACACCTATATTTTCTAAGCCTTATCGGTTACCTCACGCTCAGAAAAAAGAAATCGACAAACAAATAGGAAAAATGTTACAAGAAGGAATTATAGAAGAGTGTAGGAGTGAGTGGAGTAGTCCAGTCCTATTAGTTCCGAAAAAGCTTGATTCTACCTGTGAGAAAAAATGGAGGTTAGTAATAGACTTTAGAAAATTAAATAATTGCATAGAGGACGACAGATTTCCGCTCCCAAACATAACAGAAATACTAGATTCTTTGTCAGGATGTATTTACTTCAGCCATCTCGATTTATATCAAGGTTTTCACAACGTAGAGTTAGATAAAAACAGTAGAAAGTATACAGGTTTCTGTTCAGGTCGATATCAATTAACAAGAATGCCTATGGGCTTAAAAACTAGTCCATCTTCATTCTCGCGAATGATGACAATGGCTATGGCAGGTCTCACAAACGAGAAATGCCTTGTATATCAAGACGATTTAATTGTCTATGGTCGAAATTTATTAGAAAAGTCAAAAAATTTACAAGACATTTTTGAAAGATTAAGGAATGTTAATTTAAAACTTAATCCGGCAAAGTGCGATTTTTTTAAAAAGGAAATGCTTTATTTAGGACACGTGGTATCCCGTGACGGTGTTTTACCGGATCCAGGGAAAATAGATACTGTGAAAAATTACCCCATTCCAAAGTCTGTTGACGAGGTCAAGCGTTTTACAGCGTTTGCTAATTTTTACAGAAGATTTGTACCAAATTTTGCGTCAAAGGCGTATCCACTGAATAAATTATGTAGGAAAAATGTGCCTTTTGTTTGGGATCGCGAGTGCCAAAATTCATTTGAAACCTTAAAACAGTGTATAATGTCTCCACCAGTGTTACAATACCCAGACTTTTCGGAAACTAATAACTTTACAGTGCAAACAGACGCATCTGGTTACGCGATCGGCGCTGTATTAAGTAATAGCAATAATCACCCTGTTGCATACGCAAGCAGAAGTTTAAATATTGCTGAACAGCGATACCCCACTATTGAAAAGGAATTATTGGCAATAGTGTGGGCCGTAAAACATTTTCGTCCTTACCTTTATGGTCGTAAATTCAAAATTATTACAGACCATCGTCCATTAGTGTATCTATTTAATATGCGAGATCCTTCTAGCAGGCTCATGAAATTCAGACTAATATTAGAAGAATACGACTATATTATCGAGTATGTAAAGGGTTCGGACAACGCAGCTGCAGATGCATTGTCTCGGATTTCTTTGACATCAGAACAATTAAAACAAATGGGTGAATACCATATAAATGTAACAACTCGAGCACAAGCACGAAAATTACAAAAACCTAAAATACAGTCTCCTTGTGATGTGGTTTCTAATCGCAATTGGTCTGATCAGCCAATTGTTATTGGAAATCAAACAATACCAAGAGATGCTGTAGAGCTTAGGTTTATAGAGAAAAACGAATTAGATAATTTAAGAAGACAAAATAAGCTAACTGTGGAAAAAAGCGCGTTTTGCTATGTGGAGAGCAAGTCTACTATTTTTATTAATGCCAGTTTCCAATCACAATTGACGCGAGCCGCATTTGTGAGGGAATTGGATATATTATGTAAAGAAATAAACGTCGACGAAATATATTTTTTGAAGAATAAGAATAATGCTATATTTATTGAAAAAGTATTAAATGAAATAAAATCCCTAGGGAATAAGTGTTCATTAAAATTTTACGTCTTGAATGACGTACGACGAATCAATGACAAAGATGACAGGAAGGTCATGTTAAACGACTTCCATCTTTTGCCCACAAGTGGCCACGCGGGCATGAGAAGGATGTTTAACAATATTAAGAAATATTTTTACTGGCCAGGGTTAGAGAAAGATGTTCGAGAATTCGTTAAAAAGTGCGAAAACTGTCAAAAACAAAAACACTCTGTAAGTATTAGGGAGCCGATGGTTATCTCTTCTACGGCTACAACGGCATTCGACAAAATATTCTTAGATTTAGTAGGGCCGTTGGATAGGGATTGTTATAATTACTCTTATGCTCTTACATTACAATGCGAGTTGACAAAGTATGTTGTGGCTCATCCTTTAATTTCAAAAACGGCAGCAGAGGTAGCTCAAGCATTAGTTAACTGTTTTATTCTTCGCTACGGAATACCGAGAGAAATTGCAACGGACAGAGGATCCGAATTCATGTCTTCAGTATTTGAACAGGTATGTTTACTTTTAAAAATAAAACACTTAACATCTACAGCCTATCACCACCAAACTATTGGCGCATTAGAAAATTCTCACAAACATTTAAATTCATTCTTACGTATACAAACAGACAATCATCCAGAATCATGGAGCCAATGGCTACCATATTGGTGTTTTTCTTTTAATACTTCCGTGCATTCTGAAACTAAATTTACTCCCTATGAGTTAGTTTTTGGAAAAATCTGTTCTCTTCCTAGTAACTTAAATAGCAACATAGTAGAACCGCTATACAATCATGATAATTATCCAAACGAACTGAAATATCGCCTACAGTTGTCACAAAAGGAAGCAAGGGAAAATTTACTCAAAAGCAAAGTAGCAAGGAAATGTGTTTATGACAAACGTATTAACCCTATTGTATACAAACCCAATGACTTAATTTTAATAAGAAATGAAAACTGTAACAAAATGGATAATATTTATTCCGGTCCGTATGTGGTCGTAAAAGATGTAACACCGAATGTTCAAATAAATAAAAATGGTAAATTAGATTTAATTCATAAAAACCGTACAAAATTGTTCATACCGAATACTTGATAATAGTTACCAGCTGACCTGTCCCCTGATAAAATCTCACTTGTTATAGTATATTTTAGAAATTAAGATTGCATTTATACTTTACTATTGTATTTTAGAAATAAATATTGCATTTATACTTTACTATTATATTTTAGAAATTAAGATTGCATTTATACTTTATACTTTACTATTGTATTTTAGAAATAGAGATTGCATTTATACTTATTTTTAATACGAAAAAAAAACCTATGCTTAGTGTATTTTTTTTTTTCTCTTTTTATGGAAAGGAGGTGTGGTGTGTACCCTATTATAGACATTCATGTATCCCTATATAATCATTGTGTATTCTAAAATATATTCAGTATTGTCTCAACATTCGGCGTTTCAATACCTCTCCAATGTCCCCGCCTTACATGCCAACTACGTATACTTTATTTTTTCGGTTACACAGTGCGCAGAAACGTAGAGAGTTATAAAGAACTGATTGCAGTCGTGAACACCGAAGACAAAAGATCTCGCGGTCGTACACCAACAACGTGGACCGATTAAGTTAAAAACCCATGAATCTGTACACGGGACAGGAACCGGTGGAGAGACATCATCCGTTGCAGGTGTAACCCTGATGCTGACCACGATCCTCAGACGTGAGGGACAAACCAGAGAGAGACAGATTGAACAATATTTGTACACATAATTTTGGAGAATCATTTACTTGTTGTATACACATTACATTGTACTGTCAAAATTGTGCATCGGTTAGTGACGATGACTATCCTATGACTATCCGATGACATCCTGACAAATGACTCATCTATTCACGGACAACGCAATGTCCACTAGGTGACCACGGGACATTTAGTGGTTGACAACGCGGCATCAACCCGTTGACCAGCTGTTGACAACGAGTGGACACCGAGCGACGAGGTGGTGCTAGCCCGTTGTCGGGTGGGTCTAATGAGCTATGACCCTGTAGTCAGCTCAAGGCAGGTGTGGTACCCGGAATGATTTCCACAAGTTGAAAAAAAGTGCCGGCACGGTTGAAGTATTTCAACACCATCATTTTCTTTTGGACGTTAGTTTTAGTTCTTTAAAAATGCTGAGAATAATATATTCATGAAGTTATGATTGTTAATACTGTCAGTTATTTTGTAAAGTCTTTAATCATCAACTTTTGGCAACAGTTCGATCAGCTAATTATTTTGAAACGTCTTTCATCATCAACTTTTGGCGACAGTTTAATCAGCTAAGCTGCTCGGATTTTTTGGCTGGTCAAATCAATTGATTTGACCAGCCAAAAAATCCGAGCAGCTTAGGGCTCCGTAGTCACTCGTTACAACATGCGGACTTAAGGGCTTTATGTCTTCATGGTTTTACGATCATTCTACTACGGGCTTAGTCAGATGTAAAAAACTGAACAGTAATGAGACGGAAATAAATGTTTCATCTTGGGCGACTAATACTCGTAGTCCGAAATAACAGAGCTAACTTAGCCGTTATAGCTTTCCTTCTAAGTTCGTTGCCTTTTACCATCCGATTTTAAGCTATTACATAGCTTCTATAGCGGGCCTTGAGCGTGAAGACCGAATCCAGAAATTCCGTAACGAAAATAACCTAACACCCGCCACTCCGACCGGCACAGCGGTGATACTTTTAGTTTTGCCATCTATCGATGAATAGCAGATCTTTTAATGACTTTTTTGAAATATCACGCTTGTCTCTTTAGTTCAGCAACTAGGTGGCATTGGTTGTGACGCGGTATTTTCCAGATATTTAGAAGATATAAAGTCTCAAACTTATGTTTCTTATTTCAGTTACCATAAACCTATAGTTTTAATGATAAATATTCCTGAATAACCTACATGTATTGTAAGATAATAAAAATATTTTGAACAATATTAACTTCTCATTTATTTAATAAAAGAAAAAAAAATGTTTTCTTATCGGTCACCACGCTCAAAAACTGTAACTTGAATTAATTTCAAAGAAAAAAAACAAAGGAAGAAATACTGCATAAATAAAATAAATAAATAATTATAATTGCATAAGTTGATAAAAAATGCTATGCAATAGCTTTACCGCGGCAGTCCCCGGGTGCCACACGTCTTTTTTTTTCAGATTTTTCAAGCCAACAGTTTATCTTAACAAATTCGAATTTTTAAGTTCAATATTTTGAAAATGTATCACTGAATCGAAAAATAGTCTTCACAACCCTTTAATTATTTTAAAGGGTTATCTAATGACACCCCACACTACGGTATAGCTGAGAAATTATAAAATCATTCAAACTTTACGTACTTGTCAATTATTTATTTAATTACTGTTTTTTATTACAGGAAAGCATTAAATGGCTGGTATTATATAAGACAATTTCACCTTTTTTATGGGGATTTATAATATGTTTAATAAATGAACAATTATGTGAAGAAGTGGGGACAACAATCACTTTAATTATCAAATGCCTGATTGATCACAGAAGCGGTGAGTATGACTGAGTCCCTTAATTATACATAACAGTAGCAGTTTTATTATTTTAGCTAAATTATTACATCGCGGTAAATTTTCTTGTGGTCTTTTCATGAGGGCGTTTTGCTATTTTCCATTTTGGTATGTACGAGTAGAATGACATCATGCACAAATGCCTATTACCACCACATCAAAAAGGCATCCATCCTCACAACAGCATCGAATTCTGCTTTCGCCCCTTTTTTTTTTTTTTTTTTTTTTTATTGGGACTAATCCCACCCACACGCCCACCACTGTAACTCCTGTACACCAGGATCCACAGCAGTGACCCACGAACACACCGAGTTATGACACTCGGGAAGTCCCAGGAAGAAATTAAACTGTCTTGGAACCCGCAACGAAATTAATCAGAAGAAAATTGGAGGAGTTGGAAATACAGTAAATCCACTTCCCTCCTTAGCAAAGCGGGAGACAAAATGAAGTAAAATGGGCATACACCCTTTTAAACAGGGAAGCACCACGGCCACAAATATTACGGGTCCTACGTGAGCTATGTTTGATTTCTATAATATGTATGGCAGAAACCTGAACGCACGGAAATTCACCTTAGTTGACACAAGATCCCCATAGTATACCGCCCCAGATGTCACCTGCAAGCTATTCAGCATTATATTACGTTTATTATACCAAAGACTACATTCCCAGAGGATATGATGAGCGGACTGTTCATAGTGAGAGTTAGGTGTTGAGCATTGACACAATGGTGACTCGACTAATTTAAATGAATAAAGCTTGCTCTTAAAGTTACCATGACCCGTAAGAAATTGAGCGACACAGTGATCCACCTCAAGCCATATCCTCGAGAATCGTTCGCGAACAGATGGAAAGAATTGGTAAAGATGGCGCCCCTTGGATGATTCATCCCAGCGTTGTTGCCATTCGTCTATGAGGTCATTATAGACATCGGGCTGCTGTTGAAGCAATCTTGTAATTTCACCGCGATCCCGCGCGCCCAAAAAATCGCATTCCATGTTTTGTTGTCTTGAATAGTACATGGCTGCACGTCTCTGCACCTCGAGATCGACCGGAAGCACACCCGCCAACACCGGCAAAGCCTCAGTGCTAACCGTCCTATATGCCTTGCACAAGAATATCAGTGCAAGTCGTTGGCCTTGTAACAGTTTGCGACGGACAGCGCCTACGGTCGCCCTATCGGCCCATACAGGTGCACCATAGCACATAGAACCTAAATAAGTAGCTCCGTATATGATCTTTAATGTATTAAATGATAGACCCCATGTCGCAGTTGATATTCTTGTCAATGCACAGAAACTCTTTTTAGACTTTTCATTAACTATTTTAATATGTTCAATAAATTAAAAGTTTCTTTCTAAAACTAATCCTAGGTAACACACTGAGGCCTTATTTTTTACAGTTAATTAATTAATGTTAATGTTAATTGGCAAATCTAATGCTTGGCGGTGATTTGAGGTTACCTTTTAAAAGTAGCTGGAAGGTTTTGTTGGGTGCAAAAGTTAAGATTACGTTCACCCCATTGAGATATCAAGTTCAAACATCTATTGGCTGATCTCTCAAGTCCCGCCCTAGTATCAGATTCCACCAGTAATAAGCCGTCATCAGCATACGCGTTCAGAATACATCCGGATGGTATTGGTATCGCAAGAAAATCGTCGAAGCCGATATTCCACAAGTATGGACCTAGCACCGATCCCTGAGGACATCCCATTGTAAGCGCCTTCGACACAGAATGATGACCAAGTCTTAGTTTAGTTGTACCTTGTGAAAAGTACGAAGAGATAAGGGAATAAATGTTTTTAAAGCACCCTCGTGATTTTAATTTCAGCAACAGCATGGGCCACCATGCGTTGTCGAAGGCGCCAGATATATCTAAGAAAATAGCCAGCACGTATTGAAATTTTGACTCTGTGACAAACTTTCTAACCGATATAACAGCGTCAGTTGTCGATTTACCCAACGTAAATCCAAATTGTCTATTATGAAATTTGACTCCACCTGGCAGAAGCCGGGGCACTACAAGACGTTCTAAAAGCTTTCCTAACGACTTTAACAATGTGATTGGTCGGTAGGATTTAGGATCATCCGGTGGCTTGTCGCCACTTTTTGGTATTATACGAATATTACCGCACCGCCATATACGAGGAAATATTCCTTCAGCAATGCAACGTTTAAAGACGGTGAAAATCGTGTCACCCGAAAGTTTACAAGCTTCTTTTATCATTTTGTTAGATATTTCATCATCGCCCGAAGCCTTGTTTATCGGCAAGGATCGAATGATACCGAGAAATTCGTCTGAAGATGGTAAATCAGACATTGGAGACAGTGGTGGTTCGATGGCCCACTGCCTGATCTGTCGGTGATGATCAGTGTCGTTTTCCGGCCGATCGTCGGGTACAAGTGATTCTAAAAGATATTCTGCTGTTTGTTCTACTCCTGTGGTATATCTGTTATTAATTTTGATGTTCTGTATGTATGCAAGGTCGATTGATCTATTTGCCTTAAATTCGTGATACAAAGTGACCACGGGCCCTCTCTATCGAGTTTATCAACAAGTTTATGAATTAAGTTTCCCTTGGATTTTTCCACAGCAGCTCTGTAGTGGGACCTGGCAACTCTAAGAGCAATGAGAGCATTATTGTACAAATCTCCTGTTACGTTATGTTTTTTAATAGTGTTTAACTTTCTACGAGCTTTCCGGTAGCTTCTACGTAGGTCGGCTAATCTATCATTCCACCAATCACATCTACGAGTGTTAGTGATAGATCCGCGACCAATAGATACATCAGCGCAGTATGTGAAAGTTTCTGATAGTAATTCTGCGCTTTCCTCAGCTGATAAACTACTGCGTCTGAAGTCTTTGGTATGAGTTGCAAAGAGTGAACCAAACAAAGCCCAGTTCGCACCTTTAGTTTTATATCTAAAATTATGGGGAGCCCTTTGTGGATCCTGTGCAACCCTTGGTATGAATTCGTACACGATCAAGCGGTGATCACTACAGGATGCGTCCGGAAGGACACGCCATCCGGATATCGAGACGTCGCCGCGCGCAAGTGTCACGTCAATAGAAGACTCACCCATTGGGTTGCAAAAAGTTGGTGGTGCATCGGGGGTATTGTGAATAATAAGATTAATTTCCGCAATGAAATCTTCAACCGCACAACGTCGAACCGTGTCGGTTGAACGCAACTTGCCATACCATAATGAAGATGACGCATTGACATCAGCGCCAATGATAATTTTATGTCCCACGAGGAACTGCAAGACGTAACGTAAGTGATGTAAGTGAGGGTCAATAGGATGTGAATATTGAAAATAGCAGCTCACTACGTAAACCTTACAGGTAGAGGATGAGATCTCAGCAACGGCGCAGTGTGACGTCATAAGATTACGCAAAGATGTTACCGTAAAATTAGAACTTGCAACATATATCCCAGCCTGCGAACGGCAGTCAAGCTGTACTACATTACGACGCAAGCGAGCGCTCTGATATTGTTCTTGTATAAGGACAATGTCTAACTTTTGTTCTAAAATTAAACGGTCTAATTCTGATGTAGCTATTTTATCGTTATGAAGATTTAACTGGCCTATTGAAATATTATCCATCATTTAGTAAGTTACTTTATAAACTGTTTTTTTTTTTTTTTTTTTTTTAATTAAACTATTCAGTAATTGGTATTTAATATTAGCTGTTCCAGTTTTAATTTGTATGTGGCACAGTCGTGTGAGCCGCATCGATGGTCAGATGGTTTTTTGAACCGCTTACACTGTGCGCACGTGGGCTTAAAATCTGGTGTGTCTTTATCTGGACAAGCTCGTGTTTCGTGTGCGGCGGCGCGATTAGCACAAGTAGGGGTTTTTATGGTGCAAAACTTTTGTACATGACCGAATTGCTGACAATTTAAGCAACGAACTACTTCTATATCGTCTATGAATCTACATGTGGCCCAGTCTATATAAAGTTTATCTTTTGTGTTGGCTAGATGTTTCCTAACTGCTGCCTCTAATTCTAAGCCTATCCATTGACGCCCATTTTCTAGTTTACGATGCCTAACAATTTTGGTTGACTTAATAAAATCGTTCTCACTTAATTTTAATTCGTCCTTGATATTCTGACGGTATAAGGCTGTTAGGAAGGCACGATCTTCCATAGAACCAGGTACGTCTTTTACAATTATGCGGGGCTTTCCGCCTTTCGGTTTTTCTAATCGTAACCCTACGGATTTAATGGCGTCTACAGATTCCAGTTTTTTAAGCTGCCGTTCGTTAGCTACACGTAACACGACACCTGCCTTAGAGGTTTTTTTAACGCCTACAATTTGGAAACCCTCATCGCTCGGTTTAATAGCCTTCATGAGAGCTTGTTTCGTTGCTGACGAGGTCGCATAGTCCGCTAAGCGTTCCGTAGTGGGATAGGCAATAACACAAGGCCTAGGAACGCGCGCTTCGGTAGATACCGGGCACGGGGCAGATTTAGGTGGTAAGCGAAGCTTAAGTTTGTCCGCGTACGTTAAACTCGTTTGTTGATTTGCGATACCCTCCATTTGTCGCTCAAAATTCGCTAACTTCGTTTCGTTGCTAAAGGATTTTATTGCTAACAGGGATACGATACCGGTAATTCGTTGAGTAATATCCATAATCGCCGTTTTATTACCTACATTCATCCGAGATCCCTGATCATTAACTAATTCATTAATTTTTGACAAATAATCAGTGGCCTGTGATACTAAGTCACAGTAGTTGTACTCCCCACAGTTATCACGACCGGTAGGAGACGAAACATTACCACTTAAGTCCGAATTAATAATGCGCCTACGGCTACTGTCTTTCGGCGAGAAATCCGTAGGTGACATTTCGATAAATGTCCTTTTCCCGGTCGGTGTTAGAAATTCACTTGTACCGCCGGGGTCCGGCAACTCGCTAACGACCGACATAGCCAAACAAAGACACACCAAACAACAATTTCAAAAGGAACAAGTTTAAAAATAAATAACACGCAGAGAAAAATCAATATAAACAAAGGATACCTCCTACCCACTTTTAGAAAGAAAATAAATTTACTCACCAATAGTCGTAATAAAATAATTCAGCACTATATTACTGTTTAAAAACAATAAAAACTTACTGACTTTCTTTAGAACACTATACACAACCTTTAGCCGCCCGCAAGCCGGCAACTAGTCGCAGAAAAACAGAAAACAATATTTAAATTGTTAGCACATGAAGTCACACGTTAGTCACACGATGCCGCGAAGGGAAGTGTTTTTTCGCTTTCACCCCTTGCAAAAGGTCCACGGAGTTCAAACTCAAACTTTTTTTTTAATTATTTATTTATTTATTTTTATTTCCCCCGAAATCCCTTCTGATACCACCCACCGGTGGTTATGTTGGACTCGAACCGACCAAACACCGCACGCCGCCGTCTCGGGTACCAGTTGCCGGGGAACCAAGTGTACCCTAGGAAGGAAATCCCTAATACACCGACGTACCTCGGACCATCTACCATCAGTCAGGACGACCATGTACCTGGCCCGTTGCCGGACCTGGCGTACCGGGAGAGTTCTACACCTCTCCCGGTCCCGCTGCGCCATCTCCTTTGCAAGCAAAACTTGCTCGCAGCAGGAGACGGCGGAGTTTCACGAACTCTCGCTCCGTGCCTTGGCGGCAATCATGTTACAGAGCGAAAGAATTAACACTCCGATGGCCGCCACGAGGCAACGCTTCTGCTCCACCCACGCCGGGCATTCTGTCAGCCTGTGGAGCGCCGTGTATACGGTCCGACCATCGCAGTGGAGGCACAGGTGATCTCCGAAGCATCCTTTCCCGGTGATCACCTGCGTCAACCGGTATGAGAGGGTTCAGTAATGCCTCTTGAGCCAATCCTCCATAACGGGTCTTACCTCCCCGATAACGGCGTGCCCAAGTAGGGTATCCCTAAAGTTAACAAGTGTGTTTATTCTTTATACTTATTAGTATTCTTATTCTTTATTTATTCTCTATAAGGATCCATGTATATTTCCATCAGGTGGCATATCTGATCTTTTGCCCGCTATATTATAAAAGAAACTTGCTTATAAAGTTAGGTAGTGATTTGACGGATATTGGTAGTGTAGGGTTTTGGGCCATTTCAATCCACCTATCACTGCAAATGCGCCCCGAGCTTCCGCCGACTTCCGTCGGCGACATGCGCGACGCCTCTTTCCCAAAAGATAGGTAGCAGCGCACTGCGGCCACAGTTTTTATGGGTTTCTTGTAATAATTTCATATCTATGACTTATCAGTCACAATAGGTAGTGCCTAAATAATTAGAACTGAATGCAGATGCTCGATAGCCTCATATAGCATGGAGCTACGAGTAACTTTCTCTACCGTTTTCTAGTTTCCGATAGCCATATATAACCCTTATTTTCCCGTTTTCCCTATGATTACTTATTTAATTTTAGAAATAAATTCATGCGTGACGGTAATAATAGGCACACCCAAATTTTAGGTTTAAATAGTAATCATTTCATTTTTCTAATAACATCAAGTGGACCAAACCCACAATTATTTGATCGCTGTGATTCATATCTATCGTTTTCAGCTCCAACAATGAAACCTGCCCTTGACACATTTAAGCAGCTTGTGACTAACGATCGACTACAGTTCACCGCCTGCAATCTGTTCAACTTGAGATATTCAATGCTCCTTGGCACCGTGCTCAATGTGATTACTTACAGCGTTATAATGATTCAAATGTTTTTAAATTAAAGTGATGACAAGATAATCGACTGTTTTGTTTATGTTACCTTTGTAATCAGTCACAATTTTAATATTCATAGCCATTAATTGCGAAACCATGCTTTTTTATTGTAAACTTATCATTGTTGAGAAATGAAAAATAGAGAATGATATAATTCAGATAAATAGAAATTTGATTTTTGTTAATCAAATCCAATCCACAAAGTATTATATATTTATATTATATTATATATTTTATTTTACTTGGCAGACCTATAAATATTTTGTATCATATGATATCAATTTTCCTATCTAATTCCTGTGCATATTTATATGTTACTAGCTTTTGCCCGTAGTAGTAGACTATGTTACTCACTGATAATGTAGTTTGCCATTGGTGAAGGAATTTTTAAAAATGGTTTAGTGGTTTAGGCGTGAAAGCATAATAAACAAACAAACAAACTGACTTTCAAAATTATAATATAAGTATGGAAATAAGGATATTAAATCGTCTCTACCTACTGCCTAAGCCTTCAATAATACAGATGTAAGTGAATGTATTTCTTCATACGTTGAGAAGATTCTGAAATCGTAATATACCTCTACTTAAATAGTTTACTGTTTTTGGCATATTATTTTAGACGAGTTTTGGCTATTTTTTTATCCCCATAGTATCTGAGCCACTAGCTAGTAACTTAGTAAGGCCTTTGCGTCTTTATAAGAAAGGATGAAATGGAAGCTGTTACCTGTAGCCCGGCCTTAAAGTTTCCGTCCCAAGAAAGTGTTTTAGTTACAAAGTGAGTGTTTACAAAGTGCCTATCAAAACGATTCCGTAATACATAATACAACGTAATCGCAGGCGTTTTTATTGCGCTGCCAACTTTAAAGAGGTATTTGACTCTTGTGCTCATATTATTTTCTCAACACCATCTTTAGATTTCAGATTATTTAATAATTCCCAGAAGTATAAGAGACATAATTTTCTTGGATCTGAAAGCCTTTTCCCCCATGTCACTAATAAGACTAAATACAGGACAGTTAAAGTTAAAACACTGTTTGCGATCAATTAATATAGCTAGTGATTCAAGTAGTTGTAAATATATTTCTGTTTTAAGGACAAATATTGAAAATAAATCTTTTAAGGAATAATATACAATGTCTAAGTCTTATCCTTTTGAGCCTTGAATTTTGTCTATAAGTTCTAAATATTTTTGAAAACATAGACGTAGATTTTTTTTGGTTTTATAAAAATGTAAAGATAAACCTATACTATACTAAATGTAAAGATACATCGCTGTAATAGCTAAACATACATTATTTTACAGGAGTCGAAAGTTTTCAAAGCATACTTTCTGTCTCTACTGTGAAATGAAGTAACACTTTTCTTGAATTAGACATTTATAGCAAATTATTGTAATTCGCAATTATAAATATTTGTAACATATTTCATAAAACAGTGGCGATTTTTCTGATTTAAGTGGAAAACAACATTGTCTATATTGTTTATATGTTATACCTTACACTTACAATATATCTATACACTGCGTGTTTACAAGGATTACCTTTTTTGGACCCTCAGTCTGCTCACTACTACTTACAATAATTCTTATTCGGCACGAAGGATTCGCAGTAGATTTCACATACAACAGACATAAAACAAAACATTGGTCAAAGGTATAACTTTATTTCTATGTATTCACACGTTCATTTAATTACACTAAAAGGTTACTAAAACATAACATACATTTGTATAATATAACTATAACATATTTCATAAAGGACAATGCTCACGTATACAAACATTATTTTTGAAGATTTCTAATGCAATATCTCTACTCCGATCTTATTTGGACAAATGTAACCTACTAAAACCAGATATTTAAGATTGCAATTTTGAAGATACTAAACTCAATAGAATCAAATTAGCTAGGTATAGCAGGCTTAAACCATTCTAAGGAGAGGCCTATGTCGGCCTATGTCTGCCTGTAGGTGATGATGATGAACAGTGTCTAGAATACAATACCTACCTTAATACTTTAAGAAAACAGTTTTAAAGCAAACTACCCGCACTAAGGATAAGGAACTAATAAAGTGAATATGTAGTATTATAGGAAGCTGAAAATAAAAATATTAGATATGTTTTACAAAATGATATGAACGGTGTTAGTCCAGTGAGCACTGGGGTAGGGTGATAAAAATATTTTTGGACTATTGGTTAACACAGAACTGCATTTTTGAGATTCGTTGCTACATAAATTTTAAAAGCTGAATTATTTTATCGGTGAGTGATCAGGCTCTGGGGCGGCGGTCCTCACTTGGGTTGCCAGGAGGTATATGTGGGCGCTCATGTGCAGGTGGATTGTATGGTCGCTGTGTGTTTTTGTCACCTGGGCCGGACATTTTTATCTAGAAAAAAGAAAATAATACTATAACTAGATAGATCATAATCCTTATATACTAGAGTTTGTAGACGCAGATATTGTGCTAGTGCGATAAGTTACTTAAAAAAAAATGTTTGAGAAAGAGACAGAATAAACCAGAAAGTGAGACCACTTAGAAAAAAATATCTATAATTATATCCTGTTAAAATAGTAACCCACGTTATTTTGATGATTTCATGATAATCTCTGTCTTCTGTGTTAGATTGTGATAAATACCTATCATCAATTCAATGAAGTAACGTTACACGGATAATATTCTAATAGTTCAATAGCTTTTTGTGTGTGTTAGTGTTTATTTGCATAAAGAATATTATAAATAGCATTTAATTTATGCATTAAATATTCTATTTACACGATATTGTCATATTTAAAAATATTGCATGTGTTAAAATGTCTGCATTTGTTACAAAAACAAAACACCATATAAATTGGACGGGCCTGTTGGTCTAGTGGTTAGTGACCCTGACTGCTAAGCCGGAGATCGTGGGTTCGATTCCCACCCAGGACAAATATTGTGTGATGAGCACGGTCATTTGTTCTGTGTCTGGGTGTAATTTATCTAAAATATGTATGTATTTAAAAATATATAAGTATGTTTATCAGCGGTCTGGTTACCATAGTACAGGCTCTGCCTAGTTTGGGATCAGTAGAGATGTGTGAGATATATTATCATTATATTATAAAAACAGATATATTTACATGTCGGATACTTGCAGCAGTGTTCTTTTCATGACTTCATTATTTTTTTCAAAAACTCCCATTACTAATAGTATCTGATTAATACGTTTGTTAAACTCGCTCACACAAGTTTAGGTGATGCGATAGTGACGAGACGGTTTTCCTATTAGGCTACAAGACTATCTATAGGTTAACTTTTCTGTGTGTATTACAAATAGTAAATTTCAAATATTTTTTATTTACATTACCAATATTAATGGATACCATTATATTATTAAAACGCACACTCACAGCGTGTAAGGAGCTGGAAGAGTTTTTTCGGTAGTTTTCTCATATCTGTTCTCTTATAACAGTTTTTAATAGCATAGGCCTTTTATTTGCTTTTAAGAAACTTGTTTTGATAAATTACACCTTTGGTGAGAGAAAGTGCTGCAATTACTTTTTTCACAACTGTTTACGTATTTTTTTTCAACTGCGATTACTTCTTCGGACATCAATAATTTATATTGCAATGCTACTATGATAGCAATTTTTAAATTACATCTTCTCTTCTCTTCTCAAAAAATTCTTCAAAAAAATAACAGGAATATTTGGACAGGTTTCTCTCACAACAGAATATCGTATAAAAACACGAAACTAATAATTTGTGACATTATAGAAGTAAGTACCTAAAATGTACTAAAGGGGGTGTTGCAATGTCCTGATAAATCACGAATACTGATTGTTCGGCTCAGCTCAGCTGGGTCTATTTGATATATTTATGTATATTTGATAACTTATCTATGAGGGGGCCGTGAATCTAATCTAATCATCAATGAGATCCAAAGCGTGTTTAACCAAGACTTTTTTAACTTGGTACAGTAACTATATAGTCATTAGAACAAAATACTTTCCTTTCCTTTACAAAATACTGGTCCGTGTAGTGACGGATTAAGAATACGGAGTGTCACCACCCCTATTCATCCCGTAGGTGTCGTAAGAGGCGACTAAGGCAGCTGACGCAGGACAACCAGCACTGCAAAGAGAAGGAAAACTTGACACAAACCCTATACCAACCCGTCTGGCCAGCGTGGTATAGTAGGCCAAAACCTCCTTTCTAAGGAGAGGCCTATGTCCAGCAGTGGACTATTAAAGGCTGTTGATGTGATGTGATGTGACTTTCCTTATTATTTTTCATTTTAAAAAAAATGTCTCAATAGATTACATTAAATTTGTATTTGTATTATATACAAACAATAATACACTTGTATTTACATTAAATGCTTAAATATTTTAAATATGAAAATACTCATAGTATTAATTGTACGGCTTTTTGGTAACTCGATGTAATAATGGCTTGATGAGATATGGTTTACAAATGTAATCTTAGCTTTATTAAACAAAAAAATTCACCATATTACATCTTATGCCTATGCAATAATAGGTGACTAAATAAGTGTGACTAATAGACTTCATATTTGAATATCATTTCCTTTGTAGCATATATGAGCATAAAGTAAATATTTAGAATACTTTAAGTCGTTTTGAGTTATTACATGGAAAAAATGCATGAAATTAATATTACTTATTAGTTTCTTTTTACTTGATGTTGACGCATCATAACAAGTACCTATTAGTTAGGATAGTTCTCTAGGCATTCTTCTTTTCATTTGAATTAGAATACAGAAGAAGAAATAGAAGAATGCCTATTGCATTTCGACGAAGATCTATTTTTAACCGACTTCAAAAAAAGGAGGAGGTTCTCAATTCGACTGTATTTTTTTTTTTTTTTTTTGTATATTTGTTACGCGATTACTCCGGCAATTATAAACCGATTTTATTTGGTAGGTCATACGTCAGAGGTGGTCCCATTGTCACCAGGTCAGGATCTGATGATGGGATCCTGGGGAAATCGAGGGAAACCCTCAAATT